AGTAGTTATTCATATTAAATTCCCTTGTGTAAACTATCTCAAGGTTTCTCAACCTTGGTACTACTAACATCTTGGATTGGATAATTCTTTGTTGTGGGGGGCTGCCCTGAGCATTGTAGGATATTTCTATCCTTGAATGCCAGTATCACCCTTACAGCTGTGAAAAACTAGTGTGTCTCCAGACTTTGCCAGATATCCCTGGGGAAAGAAACTACCTCCTGTTGAGAAACACAACACTATGGCTTAGGTTCTTATTTCCAGACTGGAATAAGACTGAAGAAACTACACTACCTACATAGGTGAGGCTCTCATATAGAAGATACGAAATTTATAAGGATAATCATTGTTCTGAAAGAGCTTATGCTATGTATATGAAGAACTAAAACACATTTCTATGAGATGAAAAATAATATGATACCAGTATATGGTAGAATACATTCTGGATTAATGTTACCGGAATCTTAGAGATGTAAATAAAGTATCTGTTTTTTACTCAAGAGAGTTTCTATAGAAGAAGCAGACTGTCACAGACTGTTTCATTTACTCTTGTATTCATAGCACCAAGAACAGTGATTGGAATATAGTAGGTGCTCAGTACATTTGTGGAATAAATTAGTTAATCTGGCTTAACCAAGAAACTAATGTTCTTTTCTCTCAGAGTTACAAACTTGTTTGTGTTTGCTAAGTCTAAAGCCAGCAAATGATGATATACTTTGATCTCAAAACACTTGAAACAGAGACAACTAGATTCCCTTACATAGCATTTTAAGAAAAGATTTCAATAAAGCCGAAGACATATTTTCTTTCACATGAATTTAGAGACTGACGAATTATTTTTGTTGTTTTGATGATAGTAAGAAATACCTCGTGTGTGACTGTTGGATTCTTTTAAACTAGCATTTTGAGGTTACTTCCCAGTAGTTGAGTTGTGGATATGATCTGTATTGTTTGTTTACCTTGAGTAGTTATAGGTCATATATCTCAATATGGAACTGGTATCAAGATCCAGTTAGTTCCACTTTTGAACAGCAAGCTCAGAGAGTATGGGAGGCTGCTCGTATATGCCTATTGTTTAGGGTTTATTCCTTTGTCAACATCTAGGGTACACAAAAAGATGCTTTGAGTCAATCCTTGTGGAGATCTCTGTGGTTGTAAAGAATTCTATGTTTAAAGAATCATAAGAACATCTTTTAAAAATGCCTAAGTATTAAATTTATTCTATTTATCCACATGGATACAGTATATGTATCTTCATGTTACACCAGCTTAGCATTTATACATGTACATGTGTGCATAACTTTTTATTCTAGGATAAGACAGTAAATTATTGAGTTATTACTGAAAAAAAGAAAGAATAACTAAATAAGAGAGAAATTCTGATGTTTCTTGGGGTGGGGCTCAAATTTAGGGTCACCAATTGCTTGAGAGGCTCTAAACTAGATACTTCCATATTCTCTATTATACATGCTAGAAAAGAATCCTGTAACTGGTGATCTGTTGGTGAGGCAATCTCTAGAGAAGCCAGCAAATCTTGAGTGCTTTTTACCTCTAATTAAATCAGACAAAATACCAAGCTTATCTCTGTTTTAAATCAAACAAGCTAAGACTAGATATAGACAATGGCTGTGTTTTCAAAGTAGGTTGGCTATTGATTATATGTCATAGTCAAATTTAGGCAATGTTATATGTTACTTTTGAAGCATACTCAGTGACTTAGAGGATGACAGTGGAAAGAAAGCCGAACCAAATTCAGTCATGTGAGGCTTTCTTAGATCCCCAGGTTTAAACTTTTTAGTGGCTTGTTTGCTCTTCTGGTCATATTTCATGAAAATCTCATTTTCTTCCTCCAAACACAGCACAGATTTATTATTCTTATGGCCTTAGTCATATTTAGCTAATATCTGATCTACCATAGGTTCTGAGGACATCTCTACCTTAATGAATAATGGAAGATAAATAATGGGAAACTGGAACGACAGCCTCTTCATAGAAAAAGTAACCTCTTACTGGCAAATAATTGGCTGCTTTGGGCTGTGGAGAAAGCTGCTTGCCCAGAGACAGAGTTAAATTCTATGTGATATGGAATAAACCATTTTACAGTTTCTGCCCCACAGAACAGTATATCTTCTAACCCGCATTAAATGAGATCTAATGAGCCTTGCCTCTTTACTACCCTTTCCAGAATGCTAGTGTTATGGAAGTTAGCCTGTCTGCCCCTGAAGAGGTTGACCAGTCAGGCCATTTTGAATAAATATACTCTCGTTCTTTCTTTCTTTCTTTCTTTCTTTCTTTCTTTCTTTCTTTCTTTTCTTTTCTTTTCTTTTCTTTTCTTTCTTTTTCTTTTTTGTTGCATATTGCTAATTCTTTTTGCCTTCTTTTCACCAAGGACTATGATGCCTTCTTTGAAGCCAGAGAAAATAATTCAGTATATGCTTTTTTAGGCTTGACAGCCCCACCTGGTTCAAAGGTATGATTTTTTTCTGATTTAAAAGCTATTTTATTATTGCTGAGTTTTTTAATCAGTAAGATTACCACCTTTATTAAGTACACAGATTAAGCCAGAGGTCATGTGATATAGCTGAAAGGAAATGTCCCTACTCTGCATGTACTTAATCTCTAGTAGGGTAGACAGATGTGCATAATCAAATACATAATTATGTGAGTAGGAGGTAGGTAGAGTGACTTCCCCATTAAGCTGCCCAAGGCAGCAAATTCTCATTGACCCATTTGCAAATAAGTGGTTAGCAGTTTTAAAGATTTCATTTTTTCAGCTGTCATTCACGGTTCTACATCGACAGAGTCTTATTAGTTCATAGCAAACGTCGTGGCATGGTAAACGTCTATTGTCTTTGTGTGCGGTAAATGCTAGCATCATCCATTCAAATTAACTAAGAGCATTTGAGTTTCGAAACTGGTCACTAAATTGCTGGCTAAATTTGGGGCTTTTTCTTTGCCAATAACAAACTAATTTTGCAAGTGGAAGTGTTCCACAGAGACTATATAAATAAAATAATCAAAAATTAAATTGCCTATATAATTAAGTATCTCAAAGCTATGGACTTTCTATACTTTGCCTTTTCCATAGGGCTTCTCCATACAGGCCTGCTTAATCAGAATGTATGGCCCTGCTCCATCATTTTAGGTTTTGCTATTACCAACTAATTTTATGTTAAACAGTTTCTTTGAACTCCAGCTCTTTGTCCAATTACGAGAGTCTCTTTTATTGTCCGCATTTTCATTAGAGACCATTTACTAGCATTGTTATCTGAGTCACTGTGAAATTCTGTTTCCTTGTCAAACTCTTTTCCCATGAATAAATGTATTATTTTAAGCTTTGTATAATTTAAGTCATAAGAAATGTTAGGTAAGGCATTTTTTTAAGCAAGTTAGTAAAACCCAAATTAAGTCATTTATTTCAGTGCAGATTATAGGAAGTAAGAAAGGAAAGATGGTCTGTTTTCTGTGACGACTCCCTCTCCAGGTAAAAGTAAGAGCCATTCGTTCATGTGTTCATTCAAGTATTGATTGAATGTCAAGCACTGACTTGACATTGATGGTGGGACAAATACAGAGAATATATTGTAGTCTCTACCTTCAAATTGTTTATAGCCTAGTGAGGGACATGCATAACATTATACAACAAATGTGTCTGCAAATAATTATAATTTAAGATGTACTCTGGTAAATTCTATACAGTTGGTAGAATAAAGTGCTATAGGTGTCCACAGGATATAGTCAGTCATACATTACTACTAAGGACTTTGGGGAAGGATTCACAGAGGAAGTGACTTTAGAGCTGTTAGGGATTCCAAAATACTTAAGTGACACTAAGGCATCTTTCACAGAGGCAGCAACAGGATACACTGCATTGGGATATAGCTGCACATGATAGTATAGTACTCTCCCTTTACCCATGAGGGATACATTAAGACTCCCAGTGGATGCCTGAAACTGTGGATAGTACTGAACCTTATATATACTATGTTTTTTCCTATACATAACAGACCTATGATAAAGGTTAATTTATACATTAGGCACAATAAGAGAGTAACAACAAAAACTAAAAATAGAACAATTATGACAGTATATTATAGTAAAAGTTATGCGAATGTGGTCTCTCTCTGTCTCTCTAAAAATATTTTATTGTACTGTACTCACCTTTTCACTAAAAGGAAGCACTTTGCAGCTTCTCTTTGGCATATCTGAATTGCCAGCATCACTACTCTTGCTCTTTGAGGCCATTATTAAGTAAAATAAGGGTTACTTGAACACAAATACTGCAACTCTATGGCAGTTGATCTGATAACCAAGACAGCTACTAAGTGACTACCAAGAAGGTATCGTATACAGTGTGGATACGCAAGAAAAAGGAGCGATTCACTTATTGGGCAAGACAGTCTTTTCCAAGGACCACTTTCTGCTTTTGACTATTAGTAATTTGAGCTAATACAGTCCAACCCAGATATACATGGGTATCTGCTTAAGATGTTTAAATCTATCTCTTTTTTTGTTGTTGTTTTTTCATTTCAGGAAGCAGAAGCTCAGGCACAGCAGCAAGCATGAACCTTAAACGTTAAGCATCCTGGAAAAGGAGTCTCCATTGTTTTTATAAAGTAGCAAAATTATCTTGGCTTCAAAAGAAATAGGCTTAATGTTGAAATAATAAATTAATTGGTGTTTTCACATGCAAGCAATCAAAATGAATACATAATTAAATGTGAATATTATGATGAAGAGAATGGAGGATGAATGTAAAATTTTAAGTAGATGTCATGGAATAGTTTTGTTATCTGTCAAAAGGCATTTTATGTACTTCAGTGTTTTTAAAAAGCAAACACTTTTGCCCTTTGTTGGTATTATTATCGCAGCTGAAGTGTACATTTAGCTCTACATTGAATTTTAAAACGAGTAAGAGAAAGAATTTTGTTTCCAAATTGCCTCATTAATTTTAGTGAGCAAAAACATGTACTTTTTTGGTGTGACGTTATTGTGACTAAAAAGTAGTTGCAAGTAATGTTTATGTTATGTCAGACATTGTAATTTCCTATGGTAATTACAACATTCCCATTCTTTTGTAGTTGAAGCTTCTATGTACTGAACCACAGGTTTTCTAGGCTTCTAAACGTAGCCTTTCCTCGCATGTTTCAGTGATCAGAACAGATGATCTCTCTCTCTCTCACACACACACACACACACACAAATAGCTGCATTTAGTTGACAAGTTCCTTGCTTAACTACACAGCTATGATGCTGTCCTGTTTCTAAGTTGCTTGCTCCGGTGAAATATGCATATGTATGTTACGGGAGTGGGATGGTAAGTACATTTAAAGTGGCATCCTTTGCAAAGAGTTCAGACTTTTAATTTACTACTATAAAATAGGTCAGCATTCATTGCCCAAGATTTTTTGGAGGAGCTCTTTGCTAAAAATATCTCAGTGGTTCCCCATTTTAAAGCAAAATGTGATTATAAATGCCACTATCTCTCAGATATTTGACCTTTATTTCAGCATGGGTATATATTGTGTGAATACAATAATCTAAGCAGAGAGAATATTTTCTATGCCTCTATTCCAGTGAATAGCACAAGTATCAGATAAAAGGATCGATTTTTAAAATGTTAATTCTAAAGACTTCTAAGAAGACAAGAAACATCATGTCCTAAATTACTTACCCCGAAGATATACATATTGTACTTTAGTTCTACATTACTTTATTACTAAAAACAAACACTTTTTCACTTTAAATTATGTTATCATATCATTTGAGGTATTCAAGTCTGTGCTCTTTGCCAAAATCAACTTATAATGAACACATGGCTTTGTTTACTGGGATTCAAACTTGATATGATGCTTTAAAATAAACAGTACTTGTAGAAATATAATTTATGTGTTCCTGGAGTTTCTAAATAGTGCAATAGTAATTTTAGATTTTTTTAGAGGGTGAGGAAGGATTAAAGAAATAACAAAGAAAATAATTTGAATGCAATTTCTAAATTTCTTTTTTAGGGTCCTGAATTTTGTAATACATACTGGAGTCAAACAAAGACCTATTCCATTGTTTTGTGTACAAAAATATGCTATGGAGAATGCTAAAGAAAATAGGGTGCTTTGAAATAGATTCTGGAAAATATTTTAAAAAATTGATCAGTATTTTTTTCTGAGCTTTATTAAAATTTGGTGATGCTACTTGCAATATGCTAAATCTTTGTGGAATATGGTGGATTTTATTTTGTATTTTTGTAAATATGTTGTATTTGAAGAATTAAAGATGTGGTTTATGATTCTAAAAAAAAAATATATATATATTAAAGATTGGATTGAGTCTTCCTAAACTGAAATCTTTCATTTTGTCAGCTGAGCACTACAGATGCAAGGGAAGCAGGTGAAATTCTGAATACTAAGGTGAGTTTACATAGAATTTTCACAAAATTTGCCTGGAAAATATAACTATTGCTACTCGTTATATTTTGACATCTTTCCATTTGTAAATTAGACCTGCTAAATTTTTTTTTTTCCAGTTTAGAGCTGATTTGCACTTAAGAATGTGTGATCTTCAGGAAATTTTCATTTTCACCAAACAACACAAATTGGTTGCTGATTGTATTATTAAATGTCCACACTTCTTTGGGAATCTGAGTGTATGGGAAACGAAATTTTGAAACATAGATTATTGATTACTTGCTTGGGAAAATCTAAATATAGAGAATTTTGTGGAGTTGTTTTTCATTGCATATATTCCATTAATTCAGCAAAAGGAGAAAGAAAGGGTCCTATGAATTTTATTAACCAGCTGTGGAGGTTGAAAGATTAGAAAGATTGATATTGATCTTATTTTTTCCTCTGTAGAATAAATAGGCATTTCTTTTTTTTTTGAAGAATTCCAATAAAACCAAGTAAGAGACATTCATGCTTGATTAATTTGAACCTTCTGATTTTCTGCCCCCACCTCCTCAACCTTGTTTCTGAATATTATCAGTCACCACCTTCTTTTATTAAGCAAACAAAATTTTGAATTTCCACCTAAATAGTAATCATTACTGTTTATATAATTATTTTAGCATGATTTCCTTTTTAATATCTTCTTTGATATATAATTCACATCCCATAAAATTTACCCATTTAAAGTATACAATTCAGTGATTTTTAGCATATTGTGAGTTATATAACCATCAAAATTAAATTCTCTATCCATTTAGCAGTCTCTCCCTAACTCCCACTCCCTCAGCTCTATATAACCACTAATCTACTTTCTATCTCTATGGATTTACTTTTTCTGAACATTTCATATAAATAGAATCATACAATATGTGGTCTTTGGTGACTAGCTTCTTTGAGATACCATGTTTTTTTATCTTCATCCATGTTGCGATATGCATCAATACTTCATTTTTTATTGCTGAATAATATTCCATTGTATAGATAGAACCATATTTTTTTATCAATTAATTAGTTGATAGACAGTTGGGTTGTTTTCATTTTAGGCTATTATGCATAATGCTGCTATGAATATTTATGTAATATTCATTTGAACAAATGTTTTTAGTTTTTTGGAGTGTATGTATAAGAGTAAGTCATATGGTAGTTGTATTTATAACAATTTGAGGATCTGCCAAACTTTTCTAATATAGCTGTACTATTTTACATTTCTACTAGCAGTATATGAGGGTTCCAATTTCTTCATTTTCGGGCCATCAGAATTATTATTTGTCTTTTTTATTATAGTTATTCTAGTAGCTGGTTTATTATAATATCTCATATATATTATATATATTAGTCATTATATATAACATATTATATATATTAGTCATTATATGTATATATATAATATATATATATATGATGTTGAACATCTTTTCATGTGATTATGATTATTTGTATATCTTGCTGGTACTCTCTATCCATTTTTTACTTGGATTATTTGTCTTTTTATTGTTGAGTTATAAGTGCTCCTTATAGATTCAGAATACAAATATTACCAGATATGTGATTTGCAAATATGTTCTCCCACTCCCACTCTACTGTCTTTTTATTTTCTCGAGAGTGTCTTTGAAGTACAAATTTCTTAATTTTGATGAAATTCCAATTTGTCTGGTTTTTTAGTTGTTACTTGTGCTTTTATTGTCATATCTATGAAAACATGGCCTAATCCAAGGTCATAAATATTTACTCCCGTTTTCATTTTTGACAGTTTTATAGTATACTTCATACACTTAAGTCTATGATCCATTTTGAATTACTTTTTTCATATGACATGGAGTAGGGATTCAACTTAATTTTTTTTGCATATGAATAGCTACTTGTACAAGCACCATTCGCTAAGATCATTTATTCCCCCATTGAATTGACCTGGCACTATTGTAAAAAATCAAATAATAAAGATGAGGGGGGTCAAGATGGTGAAGTAGGCAGATCCTGAACTCAGCTTGTCCCACAGAAACACTAAAACTACAATTACATATAGAATAACTGTTGGTGAGAAAAACCTGAATAGTAGCAGGGAAGGGTTTCTACAATTAAAGGTATAAAGAAAAAGTCACATCAAGGCAAGTAGAAGGGGCTTCTCTCAAGATAGTTGAGTAGATAAATGCTGTGCTTGCCTTCTCTCACAATTATATCAAATTACAACTAAACTACAGAACAGCCATCACTGGAAGTCACCTGAGGTCTAGTTGAACAGAAGTACTACAACTGGGAACATACAAAAGAGGCTAACTTGAGGCTGGTATGACTGATCCCACACCTGCGTGTGGCATTTGAGAATTGAGAGGGATATGTCAGCTGCAGAAGGCCCCTAGATGAGTGAAGGTTTTTGGCCCTACACTGGGCTCCCCAGCCAGGGCTTCAGTGCCTGGAAGAGAAATACCCACAAGTTCCACTGTGAAAGCCAGCAGAGATTGTGGTTCAGTGAGACAGAGCATGGCTGGAGTTGCAGACATTCTCCTTAAGGGGCGCACACATGGACTTACTTGCTTACAGACTCACTTACTCTGGCTCCAGTGCTGGAGCAGCACACTGAAAGGTGACCACTTACGTACAAGGAGGAACTGAATTGTCTGGCTTCAGGGTGAGGGCTGTAGGGACAGCTTTCTCTCAGACAGAAGTGCTAATACAATTCATTGTTTCTTTGGTGAGTGCTCACCTCACCCAGTGTGGAGATGCAGGCGGCCACCATATCTGAGTCTGAGTCAACCTGGCTAACACTGGTCACCCTACCCTGGAGATTCCCTGAGACCCTGCCTCACCCAAATTTCAGATAGACCCAAGCCGCCTCCAGTGGATTTTCCATACAAAAGGCCTGTAGCAGCCCATGCTGTGGACTTTCCTCAAATCTCTCAAAGGCTTACAAAACCCAAGCAAGCACATCTGGCCTCTAGTGCCCCATAGCTCTTGCTGAATAGCCCCTAGCTCAGCATAGTGGCAGCCTGCCTCGGTTCAAGACTTGGACTCGCGAGGCACTTTCAAACACAGTGTCAGTGGCGGCTGTCTATGGATTGCTCGGTGACTCTTGCCAGGTTGCCTTAGGCAGAGCACAGGCTGAGGCTGAACTTGGCCTGAAGTGGGGCCCCTCCCAAAAGGTCTGGGGCTGGCACACCCAGTGGCTGGTTTCTAAGCAAGCTGGAGCACCACCCGGGGCTGCATCCAAGGACAATACACCCAGAGGGCGAACTGGACAGGCACTAGAGTGCTGCTAAAGTAAATCCTATTTATTATCTCAGCCACTCACAACCAATAAACCCGAGGGTCAGTCCTTCTCACTGATATGCAAACAGCAACTAAAGCTCAACTGCAACAGGAGGGCACACAACCCACACAAGGGACACACCTTGAGCACTATGCTCAGGTGACCAGGGAAGACTGCCACTGGGACCCATAGGACCCCTACTAAATAAGGCCACTCTACTAAGACTGGGAGACTTAAGAGCCCTAAATAATACATAGGCACAGACACAGGGAGGCAGCCAAAATAGGGAGACAGACATGTCCCACATGAAAGGACAAAATAAAGTTCCAGAAAAAGAACTAAACAAAATGGAGACAATCTACTAGAGCAGAGTTCAAAACACTGGTTATAAGGATGCTCAAAGGACTTAGAGGAAGAGTAGATGGACTCAGAACTCACACAGAGATAGACAACAGAAAAAAAAGGACCAGTCAGAAATGAAGCATACAATAAGTGAAGTCTATGTTAAGAGGAAACAACAGGAGGTTGGGTAAAACAGAGGATTGAATATGTGATTTAAAAGATAAAGTCACAGAAAACACCCAATCAGAACAGAAACAAGAAAAAAGAATAAAAAATAAGGGTAGTTTAAGGGGCCTCTGGTATAACATAAAGCATACCAACATTTGCATCATAGGATTATTAGGAGATGAGAGGGCAAAGACTTAAAAACCTATTTGAAGAAATAATGACAGAAGACTCCCTAACCTGGCAAAGGAAATATACATACAAGCCTAGGAAGTGCAGAGAGTCACAAGATGAACCCAAAGAGGCCAACATCAAGACATATTATAATTAAATGCCAAAGATTAAACACAGAGAACCTTAAGAGCAGCAAGAAAAGCAGTTAGTTACCTACAAGGAAGCCCCCATAAGACTGCCAGCTGATTTGTCAACAGAAGCTTTGCAGGCCAGAAGGGATTGGCAGGAAATACTCAAATAAAGAAAAGCA